TTTTTTTTTTTTTTTTTTTTTTTTTTTTTTTTTTTTTTTTTTGGCTAGTCATGTTTGATTCTACCTCAGGTCTCAGAGCCATCTAGTCTCAGGCATAGACTCCCTCTTGTGGCATGGGCCTCAAGTTGGACCAGTCGTACATATGTTGGTCACTCCCACAAGTTCTGCACCAGCATTTTGCTGTTATTTGTTTGATTATTGATTGATTATTTGTCTTCTGAGACAGGATTTTCTGTATAGCCCTGGCTGCTGTCCTAGAATTTGCTCTGTGGACCAGGTTGTCCTTGAACTCAGAGATCTGCCTGCCTCTGCCTCCAGAGTGCTGGGATTGAAGACCTGCACCACCACCACCTGTCCAATTGGTAAGATTTAAAAAGTGTGCTCAGCCCCAAAGCTTAGTCAGCAACATCTTTTGTACTCAAAGGAAATTCTGAGTCCTTCCATGAGTTCTTGTAGAAAGAAAAAGTTTTTTAATTTGTTCTTTGTGCATGTATGTGTGCATGATGGTGGGGACATGTGTGTGTTCATGTATGTGTGAATGATGGTGGGGATGTGTGCCTCCATACCTATGTGGAGATCAAAGGACAACTGTGTGGATTTAGTTCTCTCCTTGCACTTGGATCGCAGTCAGAGCCACCTTGCATGAACCATGAGTGTCTTTACTCACTGAGCTATCTCTCCAGCCCCAGAACAAGTGTCTGTGGACCAGCTGTGAAGTTTTAGCAGGCACCTTCTTTTCTGCTGTGCTCTTTAAACATGTCCAGGATCACGCCTGACATCCTGTTGAAGATGTTGCTGATTCCTCCAATTAGAAGTGCCATCATTTGCTCCGGTGGCAAAGGAAACACCTGGAGTCACTTTCCTGGTCAACAGATGCAAAAGGAAGCCTCAGATGATTTCAATAAGGGCATGAAATGTGTGTAAGCCATTCATCTGTCCCTTAAATAGTTGGTAATCTAATTTCTTTGTAAAATTCAGTCCTTATCTGGATGTTTGAAAGCGGTTGCAACGACACACATTATATTGTATTTATAATCATGGTTTGAATTGTTATGTTCATATGTCTATTTTCTCACTTGAGAAACAGTGTGAAAGGGGCTCTGTCCAGTAGTTTCTCCTCCCACTAGTAGTTATAAAAGCACAGCTGCCGAGTAAGAAGCCACCTGCATTAAAAGAATTGGGCATCGTGTCAGCTTTTGCAGAGGGGAAACTGGGCGCTTCTTCAACCTTCCAGTCTTGAAAATAACTCCACAGCCATCCATAAGCCTTTACCCATTTACAGAAGGGTTTGTTTTTAAATCCAGACCATAGTCAGTTCTCTGACTCTCCCAGACAAGAAAGAAGTCCCCGTGGAGCAGTCTGAGGCACAACAGAGAGCTCAGTGTCCTCTTTGCACTCCCACCCCCTCAGTTTCCTCCAGCGCACAAAGAGGAATCCGGGATGACACTTCTGTCCTGGGTGTGAACAGCCATGGTGTAGGTTTAGATGAACTGTGTGGGTTTCTCTCAATTCACACATTACAGACAAGGAATCAGTCTGTTCACTGTGTCGTCCAGTTCTCCCAGCTGTGTTCCTTGGGAGTTATTAATTAAGTGTCACAAGCATTCACTGAGCTCAAACTGTCACTCTGAGAAACAGCTGGCCAGAGGAGTCTGGGTCGATTCCCGAGAAAGGAAAATGAAACGAGTACACGGCATAGTAGGTGTTGTTTTCCCCACAGCTTCCATGAGAGGAGAGCACACTATTTCCCTGGGAATGGATTCCATTCTTTGAAAGTCCGAGAAAGCATTAAGCTACAAGCTCATAGCACCCATAGATCAGAAATATCATCTCAATGCATGAACCACATGCATTCTTCCTCCTCCTCTGCTGCTGTTGTGGCATGTGAAATAAAAGCCAGATCTTAGGATATAGGTTCGCAATGTATGTAGGCAACCACAAGATAACCGGAGTTCAGCAGCAGGCCAAGCAGCAGAATTCCAGCTCCCAGTGTCCTTCTGACTCATGCAGCTTGGCTTTCTTTCTCTGTCCAAGCTTTTGCTGGTCTTGGCTGTTGGAGGTCTGTCTGTGATCTAAAGCTACTTCGGATATTATAAAGCTAGAGCCTGCCATTCTACAGTACCCAGATCTTAGATTCCCCAGGCTCAGGTAAATGTTAAGTTCAGAATTACTCCTCGCCCAAACCAGGTATGATGACACATGCCTGTAAGCCCAGAGTTGTGGCATGGAGGCAAAAGGATCAGAGTTCAAGGTTGAAGACAGTCTAAAATGTCTGAGACTCTCCTTTTCCTTTTATTCTCAGCATAAATCCCCGTGTTCTACCTGTAAATAATCCAAAAGCCTTATACCAAACTATACACCAGCAACAAGTGACAAATTTGTATGGATGAAGACAAAAGCATAAAAAGAATTATAGACCCAGTATTCATGAGCCTCAAGCCAAAGAATGATTCTTCTGTAGTGCAATCAAGAAGATGGCAGAAAAGGCCTGCCTGAAATACTGTGGCTGCCATGGGGGACACACCTTAGTTCCAGCTGGATAGGCAGAGGCAGTGAAGTTTGAAGTCAACCTGAGCCACACAGTGAGTTAGAAGTATGTCTGGGCTACAGAGTGAGACCTTGTCTCAAAAAAACAGACAAATAAACGAAAGATGACATCGTGTTTCTGGGCCCTATAGCAATTCCTCCTTTTCTCTCTTGTTCTCCCCTTTAGCTGGATGTTATTTCTGGGTAGCAAGCCTGAGAGAGCACAAAGGTGCTAAATGAGATGCGACCATTTACAGGGAAGCTATTACTCCCTCGTTACACACGGAAGGCTCCTGTCTGCACCTAGACTCCAAAGGTATCATCATCTTGCCCTAGGGCCTCTTCCTCATTATTTGCTGCAATTCTACCTGCTAAAGCTCCATTTGAATATCCTATGAATCCTACCTTAATGCTTGACCGTACTCTTTGTGAGACTGGATTTCATTAGC